CAAGGGCCAGCCCAGTGAAACTATCACAGACAGGTAGAAGAAGGCCAGGCCAGGAGGAGGAGTTGCCCTTTCTGTGAGAGTGTAGGTGGCACACACAGAACTCTGTCTGATGATGAGCCAGCTGAGAACAGCACGTGGGCGTATGAGTGGCATAGTATGAGCATTTCAACACATTGGTGGGGGGAGAGCAAACCCAACAACCTGTAATTCTAGATGATAACTGTGCTCTGATTTTAAGCTTTGTCCTTTTCTGTGAACAGACTGTAGAAGACTTCATAGAGACAACAGAATTCTGCCTTGGGCTTTCTTGCACCCTTATAGACACATGCAGCTACTGGCCATGAGAAGCTTAGTTGTTTTTCACTTTCTCCTCTTCCCTTCTTTCTCTTTTCTCTTTGATCACAGTGATCCAGCATTTCTGGGATATTTGCACAATGTAGAATGTTTCTTTCATCACAGAATAAATGTTTCAGAGATGACATGCTAACTTTTCATGTTTACGCGGCTTTTTAACCTCAGTTTCTGACTTCAGTACTCTCATGGGGACTGCAGGAAAATGTTTATAATAAGGAAGAAGAATGTGTGTGTTGTAAGTCATCTCATTAATGCGATGTGGTTTCTGGAAACTCTGGAGGAGATGTGGGACAAGAGCCTGTGTTACACAACTAGATGTTCTTTTCTAGTTCAGGGATCTGTATTATCCTTCTATCAGTAAATTTGGTGAATAATCAGAACTATGGACTCCAGTCAATTAATTGTGCACCGAAGGTGTATTTTAATCTAGAAATACATGCATTTTAACTACGTTGGCTACAAAATTAATGTATAAGTGGCTGTATTAAAATTGCAGTTCAGTGGTTTGTTTTTTTTTTGAAGAAGTGACATTCGTTTTTTCTCCACAAGCTTGTCTGCTACTCATAAATATCCTGGGGAGAGGACCACTTGCCAAGAAAGCACTAACTATGGCTGAAACTTATCGGCCTTCTTAATTTGACATGTATTTGTAGCTGGCTTCATTCTTTTAGCACAGCTTAGTTCCAGTAAAAGTATGTAGGAAAACCACAGGCTCTGTACTGCACAAACTACGGGAGCTTGATTATTCAGTGGTGATTCACTGCTGACTCTTGAGCAGTGCCGTTGCCCCTGAAGCTGTCCAGCTGTATTTATCACATGTTTCTCTTGGATGTCGCTGGTTATTGCAGCAGAGATTTCTGGAAATCTTGTTTTCATATTGCACATATTTCTTCTAAATTTTTTTTTAGACTGCTTATACCTTTACAATAGCAATCCTACTAATAAATATTCTATTGAACATTACTGTTTTGACTGAAAGGAGTCTGTGTGTAGCTCCACATAAGACAGTTAAGTAGAAACAACTGCTATGTTATTTTAGGCCTAAAATAGAATGTAATGGGTAGTTGATTATTGATTGATGGTAGTTGATTGGTGGTAGTTAATTTGGCAATTAGCTGTGCATTTGTAGTTAAGCATATGTGCATGGCTTCCATGTAGACATGCATTTACTTTTGGGATTAATTTATAACAATGCATCACGTTCTGAATTTTTGAACTTTGATTACAAACTACTGATGTGGACGCAGCAGCCACCTCTTTAACGCTTTCAAAAAGATGCTCAACCTCTGAAAAACTAATGCCCTACTCCAGTTATGGAAGTGGAAAGTGAGCTGGATTTGCAGTTGTTCATGGCCTTCACAGCTGCTTCCAACTAGTTTGAATTGGAAAGGTGAGACCGTACTTAGAGGAAATGTAAAGAGGATTGAACTAGTTTGAATTGGAAAGGTGAGACCGTACTACTTAGAAGAAATGTAAGGAGGATTGGGACAGTCTCCGAGAAGACCAGTAAATCACTGGCCTGCAGTGCTTGCAGGTGGGCTGGACTGTTCAGGTGACACGTGGCCACGTCACACTGACAAAATGCAGACTGCCACCAAAAGCTGTTCCTCACC